GCAAGTTTAAAAACTACACATGATTCCTCACTGAGTAGATGGAACTCACTTATGGTACTCTTGAGGCAAATCAAATGATCCAAACTTCTTATGTTGTTTTAGGGACATATGTCTTTTAGATCTCTTCGACTGTCTCTGCAAAGCCCGACTACGAGCTCCAGTAGCAATGCTGCTTTTTTGCACAACACTATCAAGAAGAATCCAGTTATCAACTTTCACATTTTTTGACCCCTGCATATATTTCTGAGCTGAATCACCATGTTGGAGAAGATCATGCAAAATATCGTTAGCAGTCATGTTTTTACCAGAAATCTGCAACAAACAAACGGGATGAGTAATGAAGAAGCGACTAACTAATAATGCGCATCATTGAAACATCATATTGATCATGTTTATTCTTACCTCAGTGGTAATTTTCAGAAGATTATCGTCTACTGAATGGGATATCTGAAGGTATGCTGGATTATTCAGTTCAACATCTATGTGGTAGGACGAAATTTAGCATCCTGAATTAGTCTCATGTATACCTTTCTATGGATAAAATGCAAGAAAAGCATACAGAGGAAAATGTTGTACCTTGAGCAGATGTATGGCCAGAAAAAGATATATAGCCTACAAATAAACCAGGAAAATGTTTGGATGAGATAAATCAATAAGGGTTCATTTTTTATTTTTTTTTATTTTTGGAGGATGAAATCAAGAGGGATCACATTAAAATGTCTAACTAACATTCCCTGCAAAACGCCAACTGTTACACTGCTTTTGGATGCCAAAAGCTTACAGATAAATCAAAGAGAATATCAGAAAAAAAATTCACGGTTTAGCACTGATTTCAGAACCCTAACAGGGATGTCAATATCAGAAATGATGATGCAACCATATGTTGAGAATCAGATTGCAGATTTGATGGTTGAGTTGGCGCGAAGTCAAGATAAAGAAATTGGTGATGGAACTATTGAAGTTATTTTCATGGCTAAGTCAGTTCTAGAACAAGCGGAGAAATTGTTAGAACGTGGTATTCACCCTATTTGAATCACGGAAGGATATGAATTGGTTTCAAGTATAGCAGTTGAGCATTCGGTGCATATTGCACAGAAATTTGAATTTGGTGAATAAGTTTGAACCTTTGATTCAAACTTGCAGAACTACTTTGTCATCTAAGAGAGTGAACAGATGCAAGCATAGACATGACTGAGTATGCTGGATTAAAGAACTACTTTGTGATTAAAGAATCTATAAATCACAATAACTTAAGATATCCTTTGAAAAATTTGTAGCCAAATCAAAAACAGTTTGACGCATCATATAACAATAGTGCCAATTATTGAAACAGTGGAAAGTACTGGTATTTCATTTAAGAAGAAAGGCCAGAAACCAGTTTTAGCCTATGCCATATAAAGACAGTCAATCACGGTTACAGTTAAACCTAGAGACCCCCAAAAAAAAAAAAAAAAAAGCTCAACTTCCCTCCAATGAACCAAAACACATTAGCTGCTACTTTAAACTTGAAATTCGTTTAAGAAGACATAAAATTGGAACATAATTCCACCCAAAGTGCAGATCAAGGAGAAGGTTTGCAGTAATCTGATGTCCAGGCATAAAATACAATATTAGTCGAATTCTATTATTAATATAGACAGCATGAATATAGAGGATTCCTTGAATTCAGGAGTGGAGCCAGGTAGAAGGAAGGGGTTTATTCAACGGAAAATTACCCTGTATATACCAACAAGTCCCCTTGGCTTAATTCTTCATTTTGGCTCAGCCACAATAGTTGATTGATAAATATTAAAAACTAGTGAAACAGGGAGGAAAAAATAAAAGAAAGAACCTTTTTTGGATGACGGAGCTGAGGAAGTAGTAGTTGATTTGAGCGGCGAAGGCGAAGAATTGTTACTCTGGGAAGAGGTGACTCCAATGTTGTTTTCAGCTAGAGTTTTTGTTGTAGTAACAGCTACTCTCTTGTTCTTGTGCTGCTGTTGATGAATTTCAGCTTTTGCTTGAGCAAATCTTCGCTCTAATGCCTCCATTGTTCGTTTTTTTTGTTGTTCCGCCATTTCATTCGCCATTGTTGTGCTTCCCTCTCCAACCTACTGTTGACGCTGCTGCCGTTTGATTGTTGTATTGTGTTTGTCGTGTATATGCTGATGGATGTTGGGTTTGGGTCGATTGGGAAATAAAAGTGGGCTGAATTGGGTTGGAAAAAAAAAAATCACATATAGTCACTCAAAAATAACTTAATTACTCTTTATAACTATAGTTTGATAATTACAATTTATAGTTATATGTTATAGGGAGGAGAGAGGCTAGCAGGAGAGGGCAAAGAGTGGGCAAAGAGTGGGAGAAAGGTGAATTGTATATGTATATCGGTTAGATAATTATATATTATACATATGTATTTGTATATATGGCAAGCGAGATTGGGAGAGAGGCGAACGAGAGAGGGCAGAGAGTGGGAGAAAGGTGAATTGTATATGTATATCGGTTAGATAATTGCATATTATACTTATATATTTGTATATTCTAGCGAATTATACATATACAAACGTGACTAATTATATAAACTCAAAATCAGCCCACGTAATTAATGTATAATGTTAAGTCGCGAGTGATAATTATAGCAAACTATAGCTATGATGAGTAATTAAATAGTATAAGTTTGTTTAACCACATAATTTTTCCAAAAGAGAATTGGAGGAATAAATTGGGCTGAAAGAAAAATGAGATAGCCATAATATAGATTGTGCAGGGTCAAAATTGGATGTCAACAAATATATTAAGAGATAAAGTTGCTATTAATCAAACTTAATAAATGTGTTGAAATCCTTTAAATACCAATACATAAAAACTCATGATATCAACAATACATCTCTCAATATACAATAAAATATATGTAAACCAGAAATATACAATAAAAAATATTAATAATACATAATAGACATTATTTTTTTAACTTTTACTTTTTGGTGATGTTAGTATTTTTAAACTTTATTATTAATGGCAGAAGATGTGATTCTTCTGCAATGGTCGGTTAGGATTGAATAGGAAAGAGAGTATATTTTACGTTACGTAAAAGCAAACCTCACATGCGCCTCACTACTTCTTGTGGGTTTGTTTAGAAGGCGTAATTGAAATTGATGTAATTATTAAGATAGTAGTAATCAGTTTAATAATTATATTATTTATTAATTATATTGAATTATTTGTTTGTTTAGTGTAATTATAAATGTACTGTTTGATTGCACAAGTATAATCATAAGGTTATATTAAATTTGAAAAACAAAATTAATTATCTAAAATTAAAAATTTATATTAAATAAATAAGGGTCTTATAAATGATATTAAATTAAATATTTAAGATATATATTATCTTTTAAAAATATATTAATCAACAAACATATGTTCTTAATTAACTAATATTATGAAAAAAACAATTAGTATATATTTTCAAATTAGTATATTTATTAAATTAATAATAAAACCTAAAAGTACAAGATTTTTATGAATAATATAAAATACATGTTTTGCAAAAAGATTAATGTTATAATATAATGTTGTAAATTATGAAAATATTTGACGAAAAGATAATCTATCAAATCTAACTAAAAAATAAATGAATTATAACGTGAAACATCAAGTCAATACTATTAAAACAAATGAAATTGAAAATATAACATAAGTTCTAAATTCAAAATAAAAAATTTAATATAATACTCGTATGTCAAATTTCAACATAACCTACATAAATATAATTTAAAAGAAAATAAAAATGTAAATCTATAACCTTATTCAACAATGAATTCTACTTTAGTTTAAAAACTTAATACTAACAAAATTATATAATGAAAAAAATAAACAAAAATAAATCAATAAAATAGATAATACGAAAAATTGCATGGAATCACAAAAAGTAAAGATTGAGAATGAGTAGGAAATGAAATATAAATAATATAATATAAAAAATATTTTTAGAATTTTTTAGAATAATAAAATTAAAAATAAAATAAAATAATATAAATAAATATAAATTAAAACAACAAAAATAAAAATTAAAAAGTAATCAGCTTATAATTACACATGTAATTATCAACAATTCACAGTTTCTCCTTGAAAATTGAAGAGTTTAACAATGTATGTCATTTATACTCAATTACATGTTGATCAAGTAAAACATGCTAGACAACGTAATTACACCAAATCTAATTATCATAATGACTTTCCAAACAAGCCAATACAATTCTATCTCATAGTACGAATAATCTCATCATATTGAATGTGTAAATTTTGATTGTCGGTCGAGGGGATGAATTATTAGTATTATTCTGAGTTATTCATTAATCATGAATATTTCATCACTATTTAAATATTTTTCAAAACATTATGTAACACTACATAAACTAGGATAATTAGTATTTGTGTGTCAATATTAACAACATAATATTTAAAAATAACATGTTTGTTACTAATGAGATGTATGATGAAAATGAAATTTATGTTGGTGAAAGTAATAGTTATATTAACTATAAATAGTTTAAAAATTGACAAGAATAATAATATCAATTATAAAATTTATTTATATATGAAACACAAATTTAATAGATATGAAACGCGGGGAAATTTATTACTTTTTATAGAATATAAACTTTTATGTTAATTTTATATTCAAAAACTGTAAAATCATAATATGAAATTTCTATATCAATTTTTTTTGTATTTGGCATATGATACGTAGTCATAATTTGAAATCAACGCTGAATATGTGATTTGAAATTACGAGATTTCAATTTTTTGTAAATTAAAACTTGACCCATAAAATTATACTATAAATAAATAAATCATTTTTTAATAATTCTTTTAAAAAGCAAAAAAAAAAAGCGGCAAAACCAAAAGAATAAAAAGAAAAATAACTAAAAAAGAGAATGGGCCCCACAGAATTATTGTACATTAATTAATTACCGTCACATACTTGCTACTACTAAGTGACCAGATCACTATCTCCTTTATACAATATTCTCTCTCCACTGTTCCTTTTCCGGCCACCGTGCACCGCCACTCTCCTCCGCAAAGTCCCCGGAACACGGCGGCGATCTTCCCTACATTTCTCACTCAATCAGTAAAATCCTACTTATAGTTTTACTAACACTAAAATAGATAGTCAACAGTTACCGGAAAACTCGAAATTTATGTTCATATTTGCTTCGTAATGTGTGTTTGTAAGTGTAGACAGCTCAACTGAAAATTCGTGTAGCTGGTGGAATCTATAGGTGAAGCACGTGTGATGAAGTATTTAGGTGAAAAAACGATGAGCTACAGCTAATCAACTAGATATATATTTAGAGATAAGACGTACGATGGCGGATGTTGCAGTTGCGAAGTCATGGAGAGACGAGCTAGCGAGTTTAGTGGAGGATAGTGGGATAAGGTTTGCCGGAGATGCTGTAGAAATCTCTGCTCCGACGTATTCTACGCCGGCGTTTGAGGAGAAGAGATCGGTGTATGAGTCGCCGGCGATTGAGGAGGTTGTAGCAGAGCCTGAGAGTTTTAAGGACCAAATCGAGGGTTTCGCAAAGGCTTGGGGAGAAATGTTGCTGGAATTGATGAGAGGTTGTAGAGATGTGGTGCAACAAAGCTTGTTAACTGAGGAATCATACATTGTGCAAAAAAACTAAGGGTCCTTTAGCTGAAGCTTCCAGGAGGTTGAGTGTTTTGAACGAGTTTTTGCCGGAGGATCGTGATCCGGTGCATGCTTGGCCGGTGATTTTCTTCGTCTTCTTCCTCGCCCTGTCCGGTAAATTTTTGCTTTCTGTTAGTACTTTGAGAATTTCTACTTTAGCATCGGCATTATGTCTGTAGTATGTAGACTCTGTAAACATCAATTTTGAATTTCGAAGTGTGAGGTTTTAGTTACTGTAGTCTGTAGTAGTCAAAATACTCGACACCTTTGATTACCTTTTGTGGATTTTATCCATGTTTGATTGATTAACTTCTCATACAAGTTGTAGAACTGAAATTCTTTATCTAAAACAATGGCTCCACATAGAAATGGAAGAATAGGAAAACTAATCCCTGTTTAGCGGGCAATCTTAGTAGCTCAGTTGCTTGTCCGACTATTTTAGTAGATCAGTTTTTTTATGTTTTAAAAAGACTCCTTGTTTGGCATTATTACTATTCGGAATCATACTTTTCTGTTGCTACAGTTCTAAAAAAAAAATTTAAAATTTTTCTGATCTTTAGAATAGTGTATTTTGTAGTACTTATTGTATGGTTTCTGAATATGTGAATTTCATTTCGAAAATTTAAGAAATCCAATTTTTAAAAAAAGTAGATGAGTTACCTTCCTGCTTCAACCATTCCATTCTTTTGAAGACGATGGAGTAAAGAAATTTAAAGGCTTTAACTACTTAAGATCTCTGGAAATTTTCGAATCTAGCATTATCTTCGATGAGGAAGAAGCTTTAGAAATGTTTCCTCTCATTATTTGTGGGATCCATTGTAATTTTATTAGTCACAGTGGGATCCTTTGTAACATTTTTAGGCTCTATTACTATATTCCTGGGATCTTAATTATACTTCCTTCCTTTTTCCTTGTGGTTCATGATTCTCTTGGTTTGTCTTTTGATAATTGGTGGCGTCTGCAGCATTGAGTGTAAATAGTAAACAAGAAACCTCAGGCAAGCTAGTGAAAGAAGTGCACATACATCCTCCTAGTGCTACTCGTATACTGCTTCCAGACGGCAGACATATGGCATACCATGAAATAGGAGTTCCATCAAACAAAGCTAGATATTCTGTAATTGCTCCACATGGCTTCCTCTCTTCTCGACTTGGAGGTAGGAACTTGCTGTATAGCTAGTACAACAACAACAACAATGGTTGATGTTAATTAGTTTGTTCTATATGGTTTTTTGTGATAGGTATACCTGGAGTGAAAGTATCACTTCTTGAAGAGTTTGGCATTCGTTTGGTAACTTATGACCTTCCAGGTTTTGGAGAAAGTGATCCACACCCTGAGCGGAACCTTAACTCATCTGCTCTGGACATGCAATACTTGGCTGATGCCTTAGGAGTTAATAGTAAATTCTGGGTTTTGGGCTACTCAAGTGGAGCAATACATGCTTGGGCTGCAATGAAATTTATATCTGACCGAGTTGCTGGTATGTTCATTCTCCCATTTTATTGTTAACTCTTCTCTACTAAACCGTGAAGGCTATTTTTCTCTTTTGGCATGAATGGAGTGTCAAAGTTAAAGTAGAATGGCATGGTAATATGCAATTAAGACAGTTCACCACAATCAACAATTGGTGATCTCTTAAAATAGGAGAGATAAAAGGAACATCTCTTGGATGACTCACACTGTAATGCAATAGCTTACTTGGTTGTCGGATCGTCTGATAAAACATCACCCTCTAATTGATCACATAAACCTTACTCTTCAAATTTCTGATGATTTTATCATCCTGTTACAGGTGTAGCTATGTTTTCCCCATTTATCAACCCATATGAATCAAGCATGACCAAGGAAGAGACGAGAGAAACTTGGAACAAGTGGACAAGGAAAAGGAAATTGACATACTATTTAGCTCGAAGATCTCCAAAATTTCTTGATTACTTCTATCGCCGGACATTTCTATCTGGAAAGCATGGTCAAATTGATGAATACATGTCTCTATCGCTGGGACAAAAGGTAGATATTTTTATACAGAAGAAATTGAAAACCCTGCATGCAAATAATGTGAAATTTGAGTAAGTGGATTTCAGCTATAAATTTTCAATGTTGGATCCCCCTACCCCCTCCGGTCCTCCAGAGGTGGTCGTATCAGTGATTATGGAAAGCAAATGTTACTTGTGCACCTCTCAGAAACAAGAAAAAGAGAGTCCACAATGTATTCATTCTTATATTTTCAGTTTGGATTGCCTGTAGTAAGTGACCTGCACTAACTAAAAACTTAAAAAGATTTCATTCCAAAATATAATTCTTTTATTATTTTTTTAAAAAGTGAACACTTTGCATCATTACGAAAGCAGTCAAGTTCTTCCTCTTCCTCTTTTTTTGTTTTGTTGTGTTTTGTTGTGTGTGTGATAGATGTAGCAGAAAATTGTAAATTCAGCCCCTACCTGGAGAACCTCAATTCCCCAACTAGTTGGATTGAGACTGATTTGATTGTATTTGTGAGAGATGCAGAAAAGAGACATGGTTACTTCTCTCTGTCTTCTGCTTGCAATGTCTTCAGTAACATTTTAATTATCTTTGCCATGTATTATCTTGTGTTCTCAGGATAAAGTGCTGATCAGAGAACCAGCCTTTGAAGAGTTTTGGCACAGGGATGTTGAGGAATCAATACGTCAGGGCAGCACTAAGCCATTTATAGAGGAAGCTTCACTCCAGGTGTCAAATTGGGGGTTTAGCCTTGTGGATCTTCAAGTGCAAGAAAAGTGTTCTGGTAAAGGGATTCTATCATGGCTTAAGTTTGGTTATGGTCAAGTGAGGTGCGAATTGACTGGATTTCTAGGACCAGTTCACATATGGCAGGTTTGCGAACATTCAAATCTTATTTTTTCGGTTTCATCTGCTTTCTCCGTTTCTTCCTGCATTGAGTTTCTTTAGAACATTGTATGTGCAAAGATAGGATTGTCTCAACTGTGTAGTACACATTTCATCAGCATTTGAATTATGAACAGGGATTGGATGATCAGGTTGTACCGCACCAAATGACCGACTATATAGCTAGAATTCTGCCAAGAGTGGTGGTGCACAAGCTCCCTGACGAGGGACACTTTTCCTATTTCTTCTTCTGTGACGAATGCCAGAGACAAATGTTCCTGACAATTTTCGGAAGCCCTCGGGGGCCTCTTGAAGAGAGCATTGAAGCTCCAACGGAAGAAGATGGAGAACAGGAAGCTGCAAATCTAGATTTGGCAGCAGAATGAGCAGAAAAGGTTTCGTCATCACTAACTACTGATGTATATACTACACGAATGCTCCATTTCTCCAGGAGCACAAAGGTCAGATGTACGAGCGGTCCTAATGGGCTCCAAATATTTTTCATTTTTTTGTCTTGGGTGGATAGTGCTTTTCGGATTTCACTACGAATTGTAACAGCAGAAGTTGAGTAACAGATGATCACAGGAATCTCTTTTTTTTTTCTTTCTCTAAGAGGGCATATCTTTGCCTTGTTTGTTACAAGGATCTGTGTTTGATGACCAATTTGACAGAAGGTTGATCGTAACATCTCCAGTGATGCTTATTTTCTAAATTTTTGATGTAAATTTCACTGTATCAGCAAAGTCTTTAACTGAGCAAATAGATTTTTCTTGAGACAAGGATCTAGTGGAAATGACCTCTCTCCTCTCGTTAGGTAGGAACAAGGTCTGCTTACCCCCACTCTCCTCAGATCCAACGTGTGGAACTATATTGGGTATGTTGTTAGAATTAGAAATATTAGAGAATGAGTAATACACAAGGAACATAATTTGATTCCTTGCTGATCTTGTCAAAGATTACTGGGTGCTGGCAACTGGTCTTCAAAACCACATAATTCATATTTTGGAAGCATACACATTTCTAGTTCTGTTAGTAATATTACTGCAATTCCTCAGCCTCCTTACCTATACAAATGGAGTGAAATGCCACATGACGACAACGACAGTGTCTGGAGAGGATGGTGTGTAAGCAGAGCCTTTCACCTACCCAAAATGCCACATGAATAGAGAGAATTCATATAATCGACTTCTCAAGCTTGCTTAGAATTAAAACAAACTAGTTGTAACTTGTACATCTTTTTCATTTAGAAGAATTATAATGTATTCTCAATGTTCTAGTGTCTAATTTTTTGCCTAAAGACTCTTGGATTTGGAATGTCTAAGCACCAGCAAAAATTTCGTGTAGCCTAGAACGCGGATCCATTGCTCTTCGTCTGTCCAAGTAAAGTGTCTTTCGCCTCGTTTATTTTAGAAGCAAGGTAGTGACTACCTCCTGCATCTGGATGGTTAGCTACCATCACCTTCCTATGAGCTTCCCTCACTTTATCTTCTTCAGTGCTTTCCCTGTTGAAGATATTGATGTCAATATAATGAAATCCAGAAAGGAAAACAGACGAGAAAGACTACTCGTCCTGCTGTTCTTATATATCGAATATCATTATACTATACAAACACCAACAAATAATAGCGTTAGACCAAAAGTCAAGAACGCCAAAAATGTGGTGCAAACCTAACAGGTTCAAGGATAGCGTTATGTAGTTTACCTCCATATAATTGAGGCGAATAGTACTAACTGTACCTTCAGAGAAAGTGGATTTATTTTTTTTGAAAATCAGAGAAAGTGGATTGGATAGTGAAGTACTACGATCAGACTAACACGTTCACAACGTAGAACGAAGGATTTTTCAGAATATAGAAATTTTGGTTGTTTAAAGAATAGAGATTGTATTCATATAACGACTTAACCTATGTAGCAACATACCCAACATGATTCCCACACGTGGGGTCTTGGGAGGTTAAGGAGACTGTTTCTTATAGACCTTCGACTCAAGGAGATAGATTTAACTTGAGTAGTACTTTAAAACATCTCATATAGGAATTGCAGCAACGCGTTAACATGAATAAGAGAACAGACCTGACTCCAAGAATCAGAGCTGCTTCCCTTCTGTTCATTGTAGGCTGAAAACCTCCTTCATAAAACTTGCGCATTCTCGCAGTGGGAGGTCTGGCCTTAAATGCTTGCCATGCCTGGACTCCATACCTTGAAGCATATGCAGCAGCGGCTATAGCCATTCCTGCTACTAATGGCGCGACCTGAAGCACAATTTAGAATCATGTAAATTTCGAGTGTAAACAAGACAAAATACCCTTCTCCACTTAAATACCAGACTATGAGGCATTTATCTGAGGCGAGGTACGGTGCCTAATGTATGGAGCTATCTCAAAACCGTTTTTCCCAATAATATTCCCATTTGAACAATGACTCAAGAATGTACAAAGAGGCAACCAATCAGATGGAGATGCCTTTTATCCTGCATCGGTACAAGACCCTCTATACTAGATTTAGCTAATTCGGGTGCAGATGGGGATTCCCTCAAAAAAGCAATCAATTAGAATCAAGAAAATAAAACAGGAAATAGTGAATCAAAATCTAGATAGATCCCTATCTTTATCTCTTCTATCCACGGAGCTCAAGAAGCCGGTCTGTTCCAAATGGTTTAGAGCGATCCGTACATTGCCACTTCCAAGAGGTTTTTTCAAAGGAAAAGGTAAACCGTGACATCATAAATGAAGTCTGAGGAAAGTGGTGTGTATGCAAACCTTACCTACCGTGGGTAAGGTAGAAAGGTTGTATTTGATAAGACCCTTTGGCTTTAAATACAAGCATTTTCGAAGTTTTATTACCATAACTAAAAGGATAAAGGTTCCCAAAGAATGAAGTCCATAGACAACAAACGCAGAAGATTAAAGACGCATAAAAACCCAATACTCACATAATAGAAGAAACCAAAGGCTTTTACAAAGAGACTTGATGTCAAAAAATGATACCTTGGATCGAAAATAGCAATTTCTCAACTCAAGTTCATAGCATAACCATTTTAAGCAACAATCTCAAATCAAAGAATTAAAAGTTCGAAACTTTATGCCCCAGGTCGTGCATAGCTCAATTGGCAGAGGTTGAGGGATTTGCGGCTTAGATCCCAAGTTCCAGCCCTATAACTAACTAACTAACTAACAACAACAACAACAAAATATCTAGTGTGTCCCAAAAGTGGAGTTCGGGGAGAGTGGTATGTACACAACCTTATCCCTACCTTGTGAAATTAGAGAGGCTAATTCCGATAGACCCTCAACTCAAGTAAACAACAACAACAAAATGCCTAGTGAAATACTACAAGTGGGTCTGGGAAGGGTAAAATGAACGCAGACCTTACCACTACCTAGAGAGGTTGTTTCCAAAAGACCTCGACTCAAGAGCAACAAATATCAGCTCAAGTAAAGCATATCAAAATCAAGTATCGAGCCTAAGGGTTGGCCGATCATCCTCGAGTTACAAAGGCTGCAGTTGGTCATAAGGGTTGGTCTCAGATAAATTTTCTTCAAATAAAAGAAGAAAAGTTCAAATATTTATGATCAAAATCAGCAAATAACAACCCTCAAAAGTACAAAAGGCATAGAACAAACACAAAAGATTAAAGATTCATAAATTCCCAGTATCAACTATTGAAGGTAAACAAAACAGACAATTGCTAAGTTTTTTTCACAATTAATAAGAGTCAAGTAAAAATTATGATTCTTTTTCCATAAAAATAGTCCTAAATTAATAGAAGAAAAAGATTCTCACCATTTTTTCCTGATGGTTCTTCACCTAAGAGCTTGAATATAACGAAGAAGAGATTTAGACCAAGTGAGAATCCATTGATGGGTTTTTTCTTGTTGGGTCGCACTTTTTCTTGTTAGGGTTAGTGCTCCGTCAATTTTTATTTGTTCTATTTTACACTTACTTTATTCCGCAAGTAAAAGTGAACAGATAGAGAAGATTATATATTTCATCGTAATATTCATATTAATTGATGTATGTTCTTAAATAATAGAAAATAATTTGGAGAATAAGTAATTAATATTGAGAGTAAAGTAATTTTTTTTTTGTCTTTTTTTGATATATTAAAAGTCACAAATAAAAATAAAAATATATTTTTGAAATATTAAAAAAATAAAAATAAATGGATAAAGTATTATCAAGTCACTTGAGAAGACTATTTATAGTAAAGTCTCTTTAAAATTTGGAATTTGTGATCTTGAGGTTACATAAAATTTTACATGTTGTCACGTATAAAGGTGATTTAATGACAAAAAAAATTATTTGAAGTTATTGTGTATCTAATTTGAACTAATTGCATGGCGTTAAACACTCTTTTTCTTTTCAAATAAAAGTTGCTCTCCGTCTCATTTTATGTGACAGATTTCGAGATTCAAATAAGTTTATTTTTATCGTTAGTTTTTCATAGATCTTTTAAATACTTTGAATTATTATATTTTGACTTATAGTACTATTTACGTAGTTTACAAATATATAAATTAAATTTCAAAAAATTTGAAGATTCCATGCGCAAATTATTGGCCAAACTTAAATTGTTTGACTTTCGAAAAACAAAAAGTGCACATAAATTGAGATAGAGGGAGTATATATGTATTATATTTTCTCCATTTTAATTTAGCTGTCTGATTTTAATTTGATATTGAATTTTGAGAAGTAAAAAAGGAAAAAAATTATTTATCTAACTTTGATTTGACATAAAATTTTGAGAAGTAAACAAAAATAATTAAATTTTGTGATCTTAATTCTTAAACAAGACATCTGAAAAATTGCAATTAAGGAAATGTCAAAAAAAATCATTTTTTTCAAAGGAACTATAAAAAAAATTAAGACAAATAGATTAAAACAATGTTTTTAAATTTTTGTGATCTTAATTCTTAAACATGACATTTAAAAAATGGCAATTAAGAAATTTCCAAAATAATCATTTTTTTTTAAACGATCTAAAACATAAGTAGTTAAGACAAGAAGATTAAACAGACGGAAGTAACTGCATGCTTGCTGGTAAAATTCACACAAACATAGCCTCTCTTCAGCTCTTAAATTGAAAAATAATTCTCTAACAGAGAGGACTATGTATTAGTTTTTATTTCAGATGTATTTGATCATTCACATTTCATGTGTATTTTTTCGTAAAGATTCATATAATCGACCCTGACTTATTTGGAATTGAGACGTAGTCATTGTACACGACGTGCATTTTCCAATCACATTGTCTACTTTACTATATTCACTTTAGAGTTTCTGCAGATACATGGGAAGGTGAAACAAGCAGTATCCAATTGTCTGAACAAAGAAATAGTAACATTTTTTTTTTCACTATTAGGGTGTACATAGTACTAAAAATAATACAATCATATATGTAATCACAGTCAAGGAAATGTTATCTAAAATGATTCACAACTATTGGCACTTTTGTTGTCATCAACAACCGCGAGAGAAAGTAACGCGAAAAGCAAGAGTCATCCAGGGCAAAGCCCGCACAACAACATACCTAGTGAAATCCCTCAAGTGAGGTATGGGGAGGGAGAGGCTGTTTCTGAAGGACATTCGACTCAAGTGCAGCAAATCAAAGTAGTTGATATCGCACCGAGAATGGCATTTTAAACGCATACCTATAAGCCAGAAGGGTGGCAGGATTGCTTATTGTTTGTGACAAGAATAATTAGTTGACGACTCCATTCACATGATCTTCGGTGATGGAGGTGTTCAAGGAGGTGTTGTCAAATTTTGGTGGGCCTGAATGCCGCCTTGGTCTGGCAGGTGACGGTGGATAAGAGAGCCGCTTCTTCACAGACCCTGCTGATCCTTTTTCTGGTGTGTCATTTTCCGTGCCTAACGGACTTTGCAACCGTGTTTTGGCCTTCGCAGACTGAGTGGACGCCATGTAACTTGGGACTGAAGGCGAGCTTGCCAGGCTCTCGTCATCTCTTATAGATGATCCTGCAATGCTGTGCCTCCTGTTCCGTTCTGACTGCATGCTTCGGATATCATCATCTTGGTTCATTGCACTAATTCTCGGGCTTGCTGGTTTCAGTTTTCTGGCTGCTGCTACTGAAGTGGTTGGCTTGGAAGGGGTTATTGGAGAGTGGTAGCCTGATGGATGGCTCGGCTTTTGGCTGGATGGAGACGAAGGGAGTTCAGAATTCAGCTGATGACGGGCAAATGACTTCGCAATTTCTCCTCCAGAAATGCTCACGCTTCTAACAAATATCTGATCGGTTTTAAGTTGTTTCTCAGACATGCTTTGACTTTCCCAAGGCCTAGCACCCGTCCACCGCTCTAGCCAGCTCCAACCCCATTGCGGATTGGTCGGATCCATGAACAACAAATTGGTAGATCTTGATGATTTCTTCCAGGTTTGCTGTTCAGTTTTAAAAATTGACACAATCAATGACTCATAAAGTTCTTGTTAGCTCGAGAAAAATTATAATCTCTAAACACACCGATCATTCAATCTCTCGAGTCTTGCATTAGTGTATGTGTAATAGGGGAGGACAACATGAGTGGAGGCCAAGCTATCAGCAATCTTTCATTCTTAATTTTGGACATACGATTTGGGATCATGTCTAAACGGGGCCTTATAATCTATGAAACAAATATTAGTTGAATACCTGGTGAGAATATGAATATGCAAGCGCTCTTTCTCGTCTAATTGCAGCTTCATATTTGCAGAGCAAGCTAGCTTCAACCCGCTCCTTGGATTGTAGACTATCATCCCATTCTTCTCCTCTCTATCAAAAAATGAGAAAACAAAGAGTGCTGTTAGATAAGAAGTTCAAATTCATTAGGAAAGTTCATATTTCCACCAGAATAAACATTCACCTACTTAAACCAAAAGACGAGAACCCTCTCCCTCCAAAGAGAAGAAATGGAAGGATAAACTTGGCTGACAACACAGAATGATACAAAGATCCCTAGCTGTTCAAAAGAGAGCTATAGGAAATCAACAAAGTATTTTGACCAATTATAGAAGATGTTTGAAACAAAATAACTAATCCCGTCTTGCAGCATACTCTGAGCACCATTCCGCTGAATTGTGACATAACTTCCCCACCCCAGGACCCATAAGTAAGAAACTTAATACTCCCTCTTGTTTCAATTAGTTTGTTGACTTGACATGAAGTTTAAGAAAGTAGAAAAGACTTTTGAATCGTGTGGTCTTAAACTAAAGATATGAAGAACGTACCAAAATCCCTTTTAATTTTGTGGTCTTAAATATGTCACGTGGAAAGTTAGGATTAAAGAGTTGCCAAAAAGAGGAAAGAGGCATTCTTTTATAAACGGACTAAAAAGGAAAGTAAGACGAACAAATTGAGACAAAGGGA